TATATATATATATATATATATATATACATCATAATTTCAAAACGTTATCAACCATAAAATATGGCTTAGAGTTTGTAAAATTAATATGAAATCCAATTTCAGAAGAAATACTTTCGCAAACAAAATATAAAAATCATTTAACTTGTGAGGACCGTAGCTTCGATCTTCTGCAAAAACAAAAACCCTGCCCGCTTACCTACCAGACTGCTCTTCAAAATTAGCATTTCTGCCATCCTATTAAAGATTTATAAAATGGGTAAATATAACAGTTTAAATCCTACACGAAATAGACCTCTTCTTTGGGTTTGTCAAGATAAATGATAACTGCAGATTTGAATAGAATTAATACAAATGTCAAAAGCCATATCCAACATAAACTGTTAATAATCACCAGAAATGATTTCCCAATAAACAATACGACTGCTGTAGCGACAGATGAAAAGAAAAAAAAAAACAAACAAATCAGGTTCTAGACCAAATAACCACCTCTCCTAATCGTGTTTTTCGAAGAAAAACCATCCCTCGAACATTTACACTTCTTTCTTTGTTGCACCAAATGCAAATGAATTTTATAAGGTAAGAAAAGCAAAGACGGTTCGTCCCCTAAGCTCACTTTCACCGTCCCTCAAAATAACAACTTACCAGCAACTCAGAAACGCCATCACCTTTCAAGTTTCATTTATATTCATCAACATCTCGCCCTAGCAGTCAAGACCATCGCCTAAAAATCTACGTACAGACAAATTTCTTCAAACTTGGCCCCATTTCAAGACCACTCTACCCTAAATTTCCAAAATATTCAGTAGTATGTTACTCTTATACAAATATTTTGTTGGAACTTAATGATCAGTTTTTGAAATGTAATCATGAAAAAAAGCTAGAAATACATGTTCGAAAAGCTTTACAAAACTAATCTTCCATCACACAACACCTGTCTAACAGCTCCAACTTCAGCAGTTAGCTCAACGGGTTCTACCCCTACCTATTACTTCTATCGAATTAAACAACGTTAGACCTCTCCAGATACCGTTACCCATATAATTATCTACTGAAAAAATGCATAACCTCCAACATTTTTCCACCACTCCCCCCAATTTCTTAGACGGATGTTATCCCCCATTATCTCAAAAACACTGTAGTCATGCACATTCCTCTCCTCCTTTCTCCCCTTAAGCATTAACTTTTCCCGTTAATTTACTTACGTCTTCAGAGCATAGAGCTGCTGATGTTGTTTTAAACATCTAAAAAATTTCGGACGCACACCCCCTCCTCTGCAACGCCTACTGTTTCAATGAAGATTTTTTACACGTTCAAAAAACTGTTTGACCTGCATTTTAAGCATCTTGTACCAAACAATAAACCTGTGATCCCCGTTTCCAACTTCGCCAAAAATCCCTGCTTTTTTTCTTGCTTCATGCACTAAACAATTCTGT